CAGCAGGCAGGGTAGGCACAGAAGGCAGGGGGCAGAGCAAGAGCACAGGCAGGGGAGGCAGGGTAGGCAGAAGGCAGGGGGCAGAGCAGAGCAGAGGCAGGCAGCGGTAGGCAGCAGAAGGCAGGGGGCAGAGGCAAGAAGAGCAGTCAGGCAGGGGTAGGCACAGAAGGCAGGGGCAGAGCAAGAGCAGCAGGCAGGGTAGGCACAGAAGGCAGGGGGCCGCAGCAGGAGGTAAGGCAGCAGTCAGGCAGGGTAGGCACAGAAGGCAGGGGGGCAGAGCAAGAGGCAGCAGGGCAGGGTGGCACAGAAGAAGCAGGGGGGCAGAGCAAGAGCAGGCAGGCAGGGTAGGCAGAAGGCAGGGGGCAGAGCAAGAGGGCAGCAGGGCAGGGTAGGCACAGAAGGCAGGGGCAGAGCAGGCAGGCAGGGTAGGCACAGAAGGCAGGGGGGCAAGGCAGAGCAGCAGGCAGGGGGGCAGAAGCAAAGAGCAGCAGGCAGGGTAGCACAGTGCAGCAGCAGGCAGGCAGGCAGGGGCAGAGCAAGAGCAGAGGCAGGGTAGGCACAGAAGGCAGGGGGCAGGTAGCAGCAGCAGGCAGGGTAGCAGCAGAAGGCAGGGGCAGAGCAAAGAGCAGCAGGCAGGGTAGGCACAGAAGGCAGGGGGCAGAGCAAGAGCAGCAGGCAGGGTAGACACAGAAGGCAGGGCAGAGCAAGAGCAGCAAGGGCAGGGTAGGCAACAGAAGGCAGAAGGCAGGGGCAGAGCAAGAGCAGCAGGCAGGTGGCACAGAAGGCAGGGGCAGAGCAAGAGCAGCAGGCAGGGCAGGGGCAAGCAGAAGGCAGGGGGCAGAGCAAGAGCAGGCAGGCAAGGGTAGGCACAGAAGGCAGGGGCAGAGCAAGAGCAGCAGGCAGGGTAGGCACAGAAGGCAGGGGCAGAGCAAGAGCAGCAGGCAGGGTAGGCACAGGCAGGGGGCAGAGCAAGAGCAGCAGGGCAGGGTAGGCACAGAAGGCAGGGGCAGAGCAAGAGCAGCAGGCAGGGTAGGCACAGAAGGCAGGGGGCAGAGCAAGAGCAGCAGGCAGGGTAGACACAGAAGGCAGGGGGCAGAGCAAGAGCAGCAGGCAGGGTAGGCACAGAAGGCAGGGGGCAGAGCAAGAGCAGCAGGCAGGGGGCACAGAAGGCAAGGGGCGGCAGAGCAACAGGCAGAAAGGCAGGGGGCAGAGCAGAGCAGCAGGCAGGGTAGGCACAGAGCAGGGGCAGAGCAAGGCAGGGTCGTAAGGCAAGAGCAGGGCAGGCAGGGGTACACAGGGGCTGAAGGCAGGGGGGCAGAGCAAGAGCAGGCAGGCGGGTAGGCAGCAGAAGCAGGGGGCAGACAAGAGCAGCAGGCAGGGTAACACAGAAGGCAGGGGGCAGAGCAAGAAGGCAGCAGGGCAGGGTAGGAGGCACAGAAGGCAGGGGGGCAGAGCAAGAGCAGACAAGAGCAGGGTACGCTACGAAGTGCAGGGGGCAGTATGCAAGTTGGAGCAGAAACAGGCAGGGGGCAGAGCAAGGCAGCAGGCAGGTAGGCACAGAAAGGGCAGGGAGCAGAGCAAGAGCAGCATTGCGTGAGCCTTCTAGGCAGGGTAGGTCACAAGAAGGGCTAGGGGCTAAGGGGCTAGAGCAGCAGGCAGGGGGGCAGAGGCAGAAGGCATGGCAATGGCAGTGGTAGGCAGCAGAAGGGCAGGGAGACGAGGAGGCAAGAGCAGCAGGCAGGGTAGCACAGAAGGACATGGGGGCAGAGCAAGAGCAGCATGGCATGGTGGGTCACGCAAGGCGAGGCTAGGCATGCGGCGAGAGCGTGGCAGAGGGCGGCCAAAATTGAGGCGGCGAAACAGCATGACGCAGCAGCGCGGTGATTAAACTCTAGGGGGCAGTCCTTAAGCCTTCGCTCTGGAGCCAAGCCGGCCGCCCACAGACTCGGTGCCACGGAGGCGGGAGGCGGCACAAAGAACACTTGGCGGCTCGAGTTCTGCAGGAAAGTTCGTCTAAGCAATCTACAATAGCTTGATGTGACGCGGTTCTATGCTCTTTTCTCTTCTGGCTCTCTTTGTCTCTGGTCTCGTGCGGCTCTCTTAACTGTCTCTGTCTCTCGCTCTCTTTTGTCTCTGTCTCATCGCTCTCTGTGTTGCTCTGTTCTCCCGCTCTCTTGTCTGCTGTCTCTCGCTGCTCATTGTTCTGTCTCTCGCTCTTCTTTTTGTCTCGTCTCTCGCTCTCTTTGTCCTCTGTCTCGGTTCCCCTTCTTGTCTTCTGTCTGCTCGGCTCTCTTTGTCTCTGTTCTCTCGCTCTCCTTGTCTCTGTCTCCGCTCATCTTGTCTGCTGTACCTCTCGCAGTCTCTTTGTCCTCTGTCTCTCGCTCATCTTGTCTCTGTGCTCTCGCTCATCGTTGCTCTGTCTGCTCGCTCTCTTTGTCTCTGCGCTCTCGCTCTCGTTTGTCTGCTGTCTCTGGCTGCTCTTGGTCTCTGTCTCTCAGCTCTCTTTGTCTCTGTCTTCTCGCATCTTCTTTTGTCTCTGTGCTGTCCTCGCTGCATCATTGTCTGCTGTCTCCGCTTCTCTTGTCTGACTGTCTCTCGCTCATCTTTGTCTCTGTCTACTCGCTCTCTTTGTCTCTGTCTCTCGCTCTCTTTGTCTCTGTCTCTGCAGCTCATCTTTGTCTCTGTCCTCTCGTCCTCTCTTGTCTGCTCTTCTCTCGCCTCTCTTTGTCTCTCTCTCCAACTCGCGCTCTTTGGTCTCTGTCTCATCGCTTCTCTTTGTCTCTGTCTGCTCGCTCGTCGTTGCTCTCTCTCTATCTCTCTCTCTGTCTCTCGCTCTCAGCTCTCTCTCTCTCTCTCTCTCTCGTCCACTATGCTCTGTCTCTCTCTCATCTCTCTCTTCTTCTCTCCTCAAATCTCCTTCGATCTGCTCTCTTTCTCATTCTCTGCCTCCGTGTGTGGCGCGTGTGTGTGTGTACGTGTGCGTGTGCGTGTTTATATTTGTGTTTGTGTGTGTGTAAGACTTTCTAACCTCAAGCAGCCCGATCAGGCGCAGACAGCATATCTAATAATAACAGCGAGAAATTTGATAATGATAATGGCAACATCAGTCTCAATAATACTAGCAGTAACAGGAATAGCTATTCATCTATCTTTATTTCATATATGGAAGTGAATGATAATTGTAGCAGTAATTATTATGATAGCGCTGATGTTGAATTCTTAATAATGGCGCTGATCTCATTAAAGAGGATATGTAATCATGAATAGCATGATAATGATGATGTTTTAATGATAATAACGATTAATGATGATTAATAATAGCATGAACCCTGTGCCAATAGCCATACCGAAAGAAATCCAAATAAAAAGACCGTTTATGATACCTGTATTGGTGAAATTATCTATGTTAGTAACGTGAAACAACAACATCGGAAGCAACAACACCTACAACGTCAGAAGCAACATTGCCAACAACGTTAGCAGCAGTAACAATAACAACAACATTAGAAGCAACAACAGCAACAGAAGCAGCAACAACATCAGAAGCAACGACACAGCAAAAACGAAGCCAACACAACACAACCAGCAACAGACGCAGCAACAACAACACCAGCAACAGAAGCAGTAGAAGCACAGAACACCAGCAACAACAACACCAGCAACAACAACACCAGCAACAGAAGCAGTAACAACACCAGCAACAACAAACACCAGGAAACAGAAGCAGCAACAACAACACCAGCAACAGAAGCAGCAACAACAGAAGCAGCGAACAGACACAGGGCAACAATTCAAGACGGCAGAGCAGACAGGGTCAGGCAACAACAACACCAGCAACAGGAAGGCAGCAACAACACCAGGACAGAAGGCAAGTAACACAAGCACCACATACCGAAGGCAGTCACACAACACCAGCACAGAAGGCTAGCAACAACAACACGCAGCAGCAGAAAGCAGCAACAAACGAGCTAAGGGCCAAGCACAGAAGCAGTAACAACACAGCCTGTGTGAAGGATTATGTATACCGAGAAAGAATATTCGATACAACATTATCGAAGTTGCCTGTTACATAACAATGCGTCGAGTGACACCAGAGTGGAGGAGGTAGAAGTTGATTATATGCATGACCTACAGTGTTGTAGGTAGAAACTATTATCATGGAATGACAGAGAGAAAAGAGATGTAATCGTACTGTTCCGAGGTGTGTGATAGATAATATCATGGATAGCTTTAGTGGTGGACAGTAGCTCGGTTAATAAACTGCAAGCAAAGAAGAAGCAGTATACAACACTGACAACAATCAACGCAGGAAACAGGAAGCAGGCAAGTCAACAACACAGCGTAACAGAAGTGCTAGCAACAACACCAGCAAGCAGAAGCAGGCAAACAACACACCCAGCAGGCAGAAAGCAGCACAAAACAGCGACTGCAGCAACAGAATGACAGCACAACAACACCTAGCAGAGAAGCTAGGCAACAACAAGACCATGGCACAGAAGTCAGCAAAATACAACACCAGCACCTAGAAGCAGGCAACAACTAACACACACATAAATAACAGAAGGCAGCCTACAAAGCAACACGTAGCAACAGAGCAGCAACACAACACCAGCTAACATGATAGCAGCGACAGACAGCACACGCTAGCCACTAGAAGCAGGGGCAACAACTAACACATGTCAACAGAAGGCAGCACAACAACAGCAGCGGGCAAAGCAGCAACAGGCAAACACGAGCAACAGAAGGCAGGCAAGCAACACACCACAGCAACGAAGCAGCAGCAACAACACCAGCACAGAATGCAGGCACAAAACACCAGCAACAGTAAGCAGCAAGCAACAACACCGCACAGATAAGCAGCAAGCAATCAACAACCTAGCACGAGAAACGCAGGGGCAACAGAAGAGCAACAACAAGCACCAGGCAACAGAAGGGCAGAGGCAATCAACACAGCCAGGCAGCAGACAGCAGGCAACACAACAGTGAGTTTGATAAAAGCAATGTCCCAGCAGCAGAAGCAGCTAACAATCAACACGCAGGTAAGCAGTAAGGCAGGCACAACGAACACGCAGCCACAGAAGGCAGCAACAACAACACTTGAATACACCCAGCATACAAGAAGCAGCAACAGAAGGCAGGCAACAACAAGCACAAGGCAACAGAAGGCGTAACAACACAGCACGCATACAACACCCAGGAAACAGAAAGGCATCACCAATGCAACACAACACGAGCAACAGAAAAGCAGCAAACACAACACAGCACCAGTAAGGCAGCAAGATCACAGATAATAATAAAACCCGCAGAGACCGCAAGGCAACCAGAAGGCAGCAACAACACAGCCCAACAGAAGAAGGGCAGCTACAACAACACGAGCAACAAGAAGTAAAACAAAAAAAAAAAAATAACAGCACTAACAACACTAGCAACAGAAGCAGCAACACAACACAGCCAACAGAAGCAGAAACAAGCAACACCAGACAGAAGCAGCAACACAACAGCTCAGCAACGAAGCGCACAACAAAACACCACAATCAGAAAGTAGCTAGAAGCAATAAAAAAAAAAAAAAACACCAGGCTACGAGAAGCAGCAACAACAGACCAGGCAAGAAGCAGCAACACAGAAGCAACAACAACAACTACCAGCAACAGAGAAGCTCGCAACACAACACCACCCAGAAGGCAAGCACACACCAGCACAGAAGCAGCATCCGAAGAGCCACAACACACCCAGCAACAGAAGCAGCAACAGAAGCGCAGGAGAACATCAACACGCAGGCAACAGAAGCAGGCAACAACAACACGCCAGCCAACAGAAGCGCAACAACAACACCAGCACAGAAGGAGAACAGAAGCAGCAACATACACACGCAGCAACGAAGCAGCAACACAACACAGCAACAGAAGCAGGGTATTCGAGCAACAACAACCACAGCAACAGAAGCAGCAGCAACAACTACCAGCAGCAGAAGCAAGCACTGATCAACAGGCCAGGCTAACAGAAGCAGCAACAACAACACCAGTGCACAGAAGCAGCAACATCAACACGCTAGCAACAGAGTAGCAGCAACAACACAAGCACAAGCAGGAGCAACAGAAGCAACAACAACACACGCAGGCAACGAGAAGGCAGACACAACAAACAGCCTCAGCATACAGAAGGGCAGAAGCAGGAAGCATAAGCAACATCACCCAGCAACAAAAGCAACTGACGGCAGGCACAGAAGCAGCAACATAAAGGGCAGAAAACCAGAAGCAACAACAACAACACCACCAACACATGCGATCAACAAAACACGCAACAACGACAACAATCAAGAACAGAGCCGGAGGTCGACTTCAAACCGGCCGATGGTGACGCTTGCAAGTTCCGATGCTATTTCTGAACCAGGACTCCTGCGCGCAGAGGCAACTTCTCTTCATGTCCTCATGTGCCAT